TATAACTGGAATAATGTTAAAAACGGCGTTAAACTCAACTCACTCACTCACTCACTCATTTGAAAATGTGATCAACTTGTCTATATATAACATTTTGAAAGCGTTACTGAGGCCTTGGACACAGTAACCCTGTTGAAACTGCCTTAGAGCAAGAGTCGTATGACGCTCTTTGAAATCTTCGTAGAAAGGGCATGCTCGATTGTACCTCAAAGTTATATGTCGACACATCAAAGTGAAATATAGTCAACTATGTAACATTGCAACATTCGTATAAATTGATCGATTGTTACATAACTAGCTCTAGCTGACTGTTGTATCATCCGCTTAGTCCGAGTTTCGAGCTTGAAGTGCACTTCGTTCCATTATCAACGTCATAAAATTTAAAAAAAATTAAATTCTCTAATGTTTTGATGTTGCAGTGTTTGATGTTGGGTTGTGGGAAGCACAACGCCCTTCTGGGATAAAAAAGCACCCGCCCCCCCCCCCCCCCCCCCCCCCAACACACACACACCCACACACCCACCCCAAACATGCATGTGCACCTGGGATGTAATCTTCCCCGGATTTCCCTCGTTGCATTGCCCAAACACTCGGTCTAAAGATATACAGATGTTATCAAAATCATAAGGCGTTTCGAACATCTCATGTATTAAAACACGTACTAGACACACCAGTGAGTTTAACTTAACTGCCGGGATAAAGAATGTCTTTGTTTGTTTGTTGTTTAACGCCGCACTCAGCAATATTCCAGCTATACGACGGCAGTCTGTAAAATAATCGAGTCTGAACCAAACAATCCAGTGATTGACATCATGAGCATCGATCCACGCAATTGAGATACGATGACATGCATCAAACAAGTCAGCGAGCCTGACCACCCGATCCCGTTAGTCGCCTCTTACGACGGGCATAGTCGCCTCTTACGGCAAGCATGGGTTGCTGAAGACCTATTCTACCCCGGATCTTCAAGGGTCGTAAAAGAGTGTATACACCCTAGTATGATGTAGCTAAAAATGAAACAAAAAAGAAAAGATTACTCGATGACACGGGTATCATAGAGTTGTGTTTTAGACCTTCAGTTTCAGTTTTTAGCCTTGTAGTTTTGAAAATGTCAATACATATTGGGTCAAATTCAATTTTCAAGTCTATACTTTCTTTGGCTCGGCAGTTTCCATCAAATAAATACTGTCGTTCAAGTAGCACGGCCTAGACTCCATTCAGATGGCAAGCGTTTAAAATTGATTGGTCTTCAAATAGAGGGTCCCACAAACATTAATATTGCATCAAATGACATTAAACAGACACTTCAATTGCTGTTATGATGCTGTAAGTGGGCTAGGGGAGAAGAGTGCCGGTGGCTTGACATGTAGGTCATGCGTGGGACAGGAAGTTTTTCAATCATACTGACGCGCTCTCCGAGAATAGCCTTCACAGATAACCCCTCACACCCGGAAAGAAGGCATTCCTGGGAAATAGCTGTTTAAATAATTAAGTCAAAATGATTTGATTAAAAGTACATAATAACAAGTTAGAAAAGTGTCGGAGACAAAAGCAAGGTCGCGAGGAATGATGAATGAAATCAAAGTCCATAGTCAAGCTCTTCAACGACTTCGAAGTTTTCCGTGTAGCAAGGTCACAATCATTACGTAATGAGGTTTTAGGAAATAAATAAATGTAATATAATACTAATATGGTAATTGTGGACATATTGGAAGCTTGTGCGCGTGATTCATAATATTTCATATGACAATAGAGTTCAAGCTAGGAAGTTAATAGTAAATGAATGTTGGTTAACGCCGCAGGCAGATCATCTAGCCCTTATTCAAAGTCTTGTTTCCACTCTTGCCACATCAAGCCCACTATCCTGTGCTAAGTATGATTGGACTATTAGATAGTCCAATCACAGAACGTTTCACAAAATCAACATCCACGACTGGTACACCTTCGTATGAAAGTGATTTACGGTTGCCTGTCATTGTTGACATGAATATGTCTTTTTCATCTTTTAACCCCCCCCCCCCCCCAACAATTGCCGATGTTTTTGTGTCAGGGTTATATCGCGGAAGTTTTCGTTATTTGGTCGACTAGGTCGTCGCCTTTGGTAGTCGCCATCTTTATGAAGCTATACGAGATAAGAACATCAGTCTGATTGGATATCGCGTTCTCATTACAAGGGGCACAACTCGTGATCTATTCGAGGTTGCGCCAAGGTCGAGCCAAGCAAAGTGGCCTTGATGTTGCCAGGGTAGAAACTAGGCTTTCATATAGGCTCGTGAACACGCTCGCCTCGGAAAGATGCAGTCAGATGTGACGCAAACCTGTAAATAAATCTGACCCGGCTAAACCAGTGTCAGACAGCATGGACAGCGCAATCAGTCACGTTACAAAGAATGACCACCGACACCCTATCAGTGGGATCTTATGACAAGCCCTCGGAACGTGTAACCTATACCGTCTCCTTACAAAGGAATCCAGTCAATACCAATCTAAATGAAGCGCATGTGTTTTATTGATTGGCATTAGTAATAACACTAGCAATCTAATGCCTATAAAACATAACGCTCGGAATTTTATGGATACGATGACGTCATAATGTGTGATGCGACGTTAAGTGCTTGTCACGACACAATAACGTTAACACCGGCAGCAATGGGTATATGAAATTGTCACAGATAAGAAAACTGTTTCAGCGAAAATAGATTTCAATAACTTGTTGACGTAATGGGTGAATTGATAATACACAAATCGCCAATGCCGATCACCATTGTTGACGTAAAGTGTAATGATGTCACAATAGGAGTGATGTCACAGGCTGGATGACGATTGACATCTTCCCGAGGCAAGAGAGTTAACTGACAATAAAAGTCCAGTTTCCACCCTTGCCGAACTAGGCTGGAATTACTGGACTCGATCGTAGCGCCACCAGTGGCTATTACCAGTTATGTCCCTTCTAAGCCTCTCCTATGGACCAATCAGATTCCACCTCTCGTATCACTTGCGTTTGCTTCACACAAAATGGTGGCGCCCAGTCAGGACGATCTGATCGATAATCAAGATCTATATTGTGATAAAACGGGCCTTACATCGCGAAATGCATCAAATCACGTGAGCACATTGATTAAAAACATGAAAGGATTTTGAAATACCTGCTGACAGCGAGTTGGCGGTGCACATGCTTGCAAATCCTGCAATCGATCGAAATCTGCACGACAGTTTACCAACCGGATTTCGATTTCGGTGCGCGATTTTGATTGGACTATGCATAAACTCGTTAGTCTAGCCAAAATGTAACTCCATAATCCCAGCCTAGTTCGGCAAGGGTGGAAACTGGACTTTTATAGTAAGTTAACTCTCTTGCCTCGGGAAGATGGATGATTGACGACTTGTCGCGATTGTAACATTCTCGACAAAACTCGATTCTGGATTCTAGAAACATTGTGAAATGAAGATTTTAAAGATATCACAGAGGCCACAGTGGTTGCGTGGCATAGACACTCATGTATGCCTAATAGTAAAGTGAGTGAGTGAGTATGGTTTTACGTCGTTTCTAGCCATATTCCAGCAATATCGCGGCGGGGGACACCAGAAATGGGCTTCACACACTGTACCCAAGTGGAGAATCGAACCCGGTCCTTTAGCGTGACGAGCGAACGCTTTAACCATTAGGCTACTCCACCGGCCGTATATACCTACTAGAAGTCAGACCGTCTGTAGCGGGTGGCGCGGAATGTCGGTGGTTCGATCCCCGGCCGCGTCATAACAAAAGACGTTAAAGAATGGTACTTGTTTCTACCCTGACATGCGCTCGGCAGTAAAGGCATAAAACAAGGACTGCTCGCCTAAGTAAGAGTTCATATTCTATGCCTGTGTGGGATATCCATTTTAAAAAAACTGCGGCGCGGTATCACAGTGGGCTATCACAAAAAAATAGATAACGGCATTAGCCCGGACTTATACAACTTATACAAGCAGTCTCTCTCTCAGTGTTTTCAAATAGTGTTGACCACAGTCAAAGTGTGTGAGTGAGTGAGGTTTTACGCCGCTTTTAGCAATATTCCAGCAATATCACGACGGATATCGGAGCCGTACCAATTTACACATGTCAGAGGGGTGACCACTTTGTAAACGGCATTGTTTGTTCATGACTACATGGGGTGTGAGGAAAATATTGACGATATCAAAAAGGCTTAATTCGCGAATATTTAATTGGTAATGAATGTTTGTGTCTCACAAAATGCAGTTTATGACAGACGAGGAAGAAGACATAAGTTCAACCAGAGCTGTCTGCAGACAGCCTCCACGGCTATAAGTGCACCATGGACGTGACTGTCAATTCCTTGTATCAGTTGAGCAATTTATTTGAAAACCAGTTGTGTTGAACACAGTAGTAGCTAAACACAAGACTCATAACTCAACGCCATCTCACTGCCGCAAATATTTAGTGTCTTATTTTAATTGTATAACACGATACAGAGAATATCGTGCTCAAGGGCGAATCCAGCATTTTAAAAAGGATGGGATCCAAAATATCAAAATCCTCTCTCATTGCAGAGATCCTCGTTTGGTTTTCCAAATCCCCCACCCCCTACTCCTTCTGGATCCACCCATGATGCTAATTATTCGACATTAAACGGCCATTTAGTACAAGAAGTGCTATATGTGTAAAACAAAACTAAATACACATACACATAGTTTGCATAAATATATTTCATGAACTTTAATGTTTTTTTGTGATACAATGTAATATGATCAGAGACAATATATATTAAAGAAAAAAAAAAAATTTCAACTAGTTTATATATACAGTACACTACGGTTATAACGAACTCAAAGGGACTACTAATTTTAGTTCGTTATAACCGTAATTCGTTATAAGCATATATACAGCATAACTACAGCAAATAGTCGGGACTAAAAAGTTAGTTCGTTATATCCGTCAGTTCGTTATAAGCGTGTTCGTTATAACCGTAGTTTACTGTATATTCATTTATACCACCTACCTGTGGTGAGAATAGTCGTACCCAAGATGCTGCCTGAGATCAGTGGGCGGGGGCGGGTGCTGCGGGTGCTGCGGGTACAGAGGGTGGTAAAACATGGGTGGCGTCGTCAACATGCTGACTCCAAACTCGATGAACAACAGAGACAAAAACCTTAGTATTATCCAACCTAACTCGCTAAATATAAACGCGGGTATCCTCGGGTCTAGCTCCACTGTCAATATATACGCCACTGGCTACGTGCGGACCACGCCTCTCCCCCGCAAAATGAAGTGTACTTCCCCGCCCCTAAGTGTTCAATGGGGCTGTCCCGATCGGACAATTCAAGCCAGGCACGCCGCAGTTTCCCCTTCTTGACAAATGTAACTGCGCTCTCGGTTTCGATTCCTCGGAAATGAAAGCATTCTGAGTCAAGGCAGGTGTCAGCACAACATGAGATCGTTTGAGAAGCTACTGAAACATAGCTTTCCATCGCATGTTCACGTTGGGGCTTTGTGGTATACCTTATATGTTCAGACTGTGAAGCACGGGTTGTCTGAACAAAGGATATCCTACACTCCACGATGAGTGCGAGCGTGTACTCATTATTGATAAAGATGTTCCATATATTCGGTAGATTAAATTTAGATCAAATTTGAATAGAATAGATAATTAATTTATTAATTTTCATTTGATTGATTATTATGCATGGGGGCAAGAAATATCTTTCCGCTAAATTAAGGTCAGTTATATATGTATATTTACCAATTGAATCAGCTCGTGATTTCGAGTCACGCGATACACAAATACTTCCTCCAGTGGGGGTTTAAAGGGGGTGGGGTGGGTATTTGGAAGAGGAGGGATAAACTTTATTTCCGGGAGCAAGATAAAATGGACAGATATCAATTGTAGGTCGTCACATCAAGCACGTTTGATTCGAGTAGTTTGTTACATGATTGTTCTAATGGAACGTTTTTTGACGAAACGATCAGAATGAGTGGCTGAGTGTAGTGAGGTGGATGAGCGTCGTTTGAACAGTATTCACGTTTTATCACGACGTGTCAGCTTAATGTGGGAGGAAAACCCGAAGTGATGCATATCTCAGTCGTTAACCAGAACCTACGAGCGCGAGTATTGTGCCAGAAACCAAGAAACCAAATCGGGTCGAACTGGAATTCGAACCCACAATCATAGGTTCCGGGCGTGCCCAAGGGACACAATTCTGCACAGCGGCGTCTCAGACGATTGGGCCCCCCGTGCCCCCCGATAGGATCACATATGAGCTGCACATTGGTTTAGGTAGTAAATCTATCCCATAGCAAACATCATCAAACGACAAAATAATGATAGCATGAAAGCATAGCCGCCATCAGAACTTATTTTTTGCATAATTGTCAACGGGTTAGCACAGTAGTAAGAGTGAGTGAGTAAGTGAGTGAGTATGGTTTCACGCCGCTTTTAGCAATATTCCAGCAATATCACGGCGGGGGACACCAGAAATGGGCTTCACACATTGCACCGATGTCGGGAATCGAACCCGGGTCTTCGGCGTGACGAGCGAACGCTTTAACCACTAGGCTACCCGACCGCCCCACAGTGGTAAGAGTGTGGGATGGTCAGACCTTTGAGTTCGATTCTCCTCATGGATAAGTGTGTGCGTCCCATCGTGACGTGGCTGTAACATTGCTAATAGCGGTGTAAAACACTAGCCAATCACGCATGTAGAGTACTGAGGTGTTTATTCAATCTATATGTATAGTTTGGTTTCCTAATGATCAGTTTTTGGGTAAATTCGAAATTGACTGCATCAGTCAGAATTATGTCACATAGAGTCCCACCAATTTGTGTTGCTCATGGGGCACTGACTGAGACGTGAGCTAAGGATATACAGAGTCGCGTCCCTTAGGCCTGCCCATCTTCCCGAGTCAAGGGAGTTAACTGACTAAAAGTCCAGTTTCCACCCTTCCCGAACTAGGCTGGAATTATAGAGCCATATTTTGGCTAGACTAAAAAGTCAATGCATAGTCCAATCAAAATTGAGTAACGAGCAAATAATGATCCTTGTTATATCCGAGCTCAATGATTGTCCAAACGTGTCCCCATTACTCATACTATGCACCAAGTAAAACAACATGGATCAAGGGCCGTAACTCTGTAAAATAATTTACAGGACCAATTTTCGAAATTAGTATTAACAAGTATCTCGTAGGTAAGCATGGAAACTTCTATTACTGTAACTTTAGTAGTTTCTGAGTCCCAATTGCAGACACTATGCTCTTTGTTGAAAGCACGGAGCAAGGGCCATAGCTATGTAAAAAAAATGATATACAGGACCAATTTTCGAAATCAGTCTTGACAAGTATCTCTTAGATGAGCATTCGAACTTTCATTCAAGTTACTTCAGTTGTTTCTGAGAAAACGTCTCCACATTGAACACACTACGCACCAAGTAATATAACATGGGTCGTAACTCCGTAAAATAATAATTTACGGGATCAGTTTTCGAAATCAGTCTTGACAAGTATCTCTTAGATGAGCATTCGAACTTTCATTCAAGTTACTTCAGTAGTTTCTGAGAGAAACAATTTCCCCATTCCACACAGTATGCACTAAGTTGAAAATCACGGGAAGAGGGGCCATAACTCTGAAAAAATGTATTTAAGATCATGACCAGTAATATCAGTGTGTAACATTTCATTTCTCTAACTTAAAAAGTTTTTAAAAAGAACTGACACAGAACCTAGATTTTCGAAACGATCTTAGCTAAGATAAAAAAACTTACGTTCAAAGATAAGATATCTTAAGGTAAACCTGTCGCAGATCGTTCAGAGCTACGATACCTATCGTAACTCTGACAGAGAACTCATTTGTGTTAGAGATCGAAAAAGCGGGTGTTTCCCAATGACGGCTCCAGATAAAGGCAGTATCGGCGTATGTACGGATGAAAATATATTTAAATACAATTTTGAAAACGTATCAGATACCCATCACAGCATACATATACGGTCTAACATACATTTATAGACGCATTTCCCCCCAAATATATTCTTATTTTAAGCAGGGTATTTTCTTCGTAAAGAGCACACTTTATTTTCCTAAAAACACAGCTGTATAAAGGGGGTGTGCATTATACACGCCATAATAAATTTTGATGGGTTTTTTCTAGAACGCAAAGATATTACCGGGAGCACGTGAGACCGGATATACCATGTCAAACAATCTGTACTGAAGTACGCAAATGAATCACGTAATTACACTGTCTGGTTACAAAAAGTATTCATTGTATATCTGGACTTATGTTTGTAACCTATTATATTAAACAAAAATTCAATATTGTTTTCATTAATTTCGGCAAAATCGTGCGTGAAATGATCGGTAGATCGCTCAGCAACTACGGTCAGATTACCGTTACTGACGCCTTGAAACGAACTTTGATACATATATCATAAATGCCATGCTTTGACTCTTTAAGAGTCATATTTGTTGTAGTTTGACTGTTATATGTCAATATATTGTTTTTGCGAGCGCAACGGTCAACGGTGTAAGATTATATTGTTCCATACGTAAGAAATATCCGGCAATAGCGATCAGGTGCACCCAAGTTAGTGCTACGCTTATGGTTAATATTTTGTTAAATAAAGTAAAGCTGCAACTAAAAAAATACGATATTGGAATATATTATTCCTGATAAAATAATACTTTCAAGTACAACTCTTCTGATCATTACATCAAAATACTCTAAAGTTATATTATTGGGTACTTTTTAACGGAAACACCGGTAAATAGTGAGAAAACGTGTGTACAGCTGATTGCTGGTTCCGGCTTAGTTTACGAGACAACACACACGGTAATCTTAATCTCAGCATATGAAACATTGCCTAGTAGAACTGGAAATACCATTTAAACGGTAAATCATCATGGCTAGAGTAATGTTTTATCTCAATTTCAAATTTGCATTGACCAACTATGTTATTACCTGTTCGTTTACCTGACTTTGCTGAAGGGATACGATGTAAAATAATTCTGCTCTTAATAATCGAATTCCCCACCCCATCCCCACTAAAAATACTCAATACCCCATAGGGAGTGAGCATTATACAATAGCCATACATGTACAACAACGAAAAAAGGAAGTGTTTTTGTTTATAGACCTGTTTACACGAGACAGAGAGCATGGTCTCTACTAAAATGAATTACAAGATTAATCCATACAATTCCATTCAGCACTCGAAATTTTCTCTATAGTTTTGCTGACTTTTACTGACTCCCGATGCTAAAAATTATCTGGCATTATGTGGCGGGGGATAATAAAACGAGATAAGCCATTTTTGGACTTTCCTCCCAAATTAAATGGATATGTTTTTTGTCCCTTTTATTTACTAGCGTAAGGCTTAATATTCAACCATAGATTATCCGAAGCGAAACACAGACAGAAATATACCACCCGACCGTTGACGCTTGATCCGTATCCGATTAAAAAACCCGGGAAAATATTTCTCATTTGAAACTGTTTTAAAATAAAGAGTTACCTCTTCCTCAGCGTTCCAGTGATACTTGATTACTCCCCCGCGTTATCCAATACTGTGTCACGTTTTTACTGTTACTGCAAATCGTTATCTGTTTTGATATCCCCGTATTTGTGTGCAGTTGAAACACAAGCCTCGAGAATGCATCCCACGCAAATATGTTTGTTTGTTTGTTGTTTAACACTGCACGCAGCTATTTTCCAGCTGTCTGTAAATAATCGAGTCTGTACCAGGCAATTCAGTGTTGACATCATAAGCATCGATCCACGCAATTGGGATCGATGACATGCATCAACCAAGTCAGCGAGTCTGACAACCCGATCCCGTTAGTCGTCTCTTACCCCAAGTATAGTCGCCTTTTACGGCAAGCATGGGTTGCTGAAGACCTCTTCTCTACCCGGATCTTCACGGGTCTACAAATACGTAACAATACACGAGGCAAAGCAGGGTATGAAACTCCCAAAAATTTCAGCCAGACCACAGGACTGGCTAGCTGAAATACTTGCCAGCCCTGACCAAAACCTGGCTGCCCACTATAATCATATGTTTCTCAGGATAAGCTAACGGGGTTTCTTTTTGTTTACTTTTTATCATTCATCTTTACATGTGAATTAATGCTTATCATCGGGAAATATTTTGAATATTTTCACATATGAAATATAACCCGACCGTCGGGCAGGGGGATTTGAAAATCTGGCAGCCCGAGTTGACATCAACCCGTCTCGGACGGTCGGGCAGGCAGGTATTTCGAACACTGGGCAAAGCCTTTATTGTTCATCAGTTGTTAACGGAGTTTGTCTCTCAAAACTTGAAGTCGGTGGTCGAAACAAAGAAATTAAAAACCAATCTCTTTCATCTTCTTGTTTGTTATTTGTCTTTTGTGTAAACATATGGTCGACAGGTATTGAAAAGAAATATAATTCCACCCATGCACAATGGCGACGATCCTGAACAATTATTTAAATATGCTGCCGTGGTAC